TTCTGACGTGGCCACATGCCAAGACGCCAGCATCCTTCTCAATAGTACTAAGAATCCGAGGGATGTGTATCAACAAGAGACAGTAAGAAAGGTTTACGCAGGGTCTTAATCTAAAAAGAATCCTTGGAACGGGTCCCTGATGCACGTCTGCGCCTGTGTCTCCGTTGTGCCGTATCCTGCACGGGTGTAGCACGATGGTCATCTGTAAAAGAGAGAAACTTAGGTGAAAAGTTGTCGTGCAAAAAGGTAGGTTTAAAGAAACTGTGTATAATTCAAGATGAGTAAAAATTGCCACTTGTCTGCGTGCGTTGAGCCCCATCAAACCTGTATGAATTACATATAGCTGCTTCGGACTCGTCTAACCGTGTCCATAGTCTTGACGACCTGTCGAATGCTTTAGTTGGTGAGGTCGTTTTAGCGTGCAGCTGCCGAGGCAGCCGCACTCTCTTCGGCGCGCAGGGATCGCTCGATATTTCCATTTACTGTAATGATGCCACATGGACTGGGCATCTTAAGCTTGAGGGAAGCGTAATGCGGTATTGCATTAAAGCAAGCAAAAGCTTGGCGTCCAAGTAGTGCTTGATAGCCACTTTGGAACGGAGCAATGTGGAAGGTTAAATTTTCGCTACGGAAGTTATCGGGGAAGCCGAATATAACCTCTAGTAGCAGGGAGCCCGTGCAATGAGCCCCTGGGCCTGGCGTTACTCCTTTAAAGGTGGTATTGTTGTGGCAAATTTTCGTTGGGTCTATCCCCGTTTTGCGGATTGTGTCCTGATATATCAGGTTTAGACTGCTGCCACCGTCCATCAAGACTCATGTGAAGTGGTATCCGTCAATTATTGGGTCTAATACCAAGGCAGCCCATCCTGCACGCCGGATACTTGCTGAGTAATCCTGATGGTCGAAAGTGATCGGTTGAGACGACCAGTGGCACGACTCCGCGGTGATAGGCCCTTGGGCATATTTCTCTGGGAGTGCCGCTTTATTTCTCCCCTTGATCACGTGTAACACGTTCACTATTTTGACTTCGGGTGGAAATTTCTTTGTTCCCCAGTGTCTTGCTTGAGAGGCTCATCCTCGTCTTCGCTTGGTGTATCCCCCCCCCCCTTGTGTACGGCGTTGAGCTTGCCGGACTGCTTGAAGACCCAACATTATCTGTGGGTATGATTTGCAGGTTTATCGGGGGTGCTATGGATCTGACATATTTGGTCCAGAATTTTGTTTAGGCTGGACAGTTCATCTCTGGCGCCTTTAGAGGGCGGCTTTTGCTGACCTGACCGAGAGCTTCTGAATCCGACGTTTACCGCCATGCTCTTCGGGTTGTCTTCTTTATTCCGGCGCTTATTATTTTTGTTGCGTCATGATTTCCCATTTCCATCTCTAACTTCGGATGTACTTGGGTCGTTGGTGCTGCATCTGGCTAGCCAGCTGTCCTCATCCGCGCAAAAGCGGGTCATGAGGCTTGTTAATGCTGCCATTGTTCTCGGCTTTTCTTGGCCGAGGTGTCTGGCAAGCCATTCGTCGCGGACGCTGTGCTTAAAAGCTACCAAGGCTTCGGTGTCCGGACAGTCGACTATTTGGTTCTTTTTAGTAAGAAACCTGTTCCAAAGCTTTCGGGCTGACTCTCCGGGCTGTTGAGTTGTATGACTCAAATCGTCCGCGTCCGAAGGTCGGACATAAGTCCCTTGAAAATTTGCCCGAAAAGCGTCTTCAAGCTCTTCCCAGCTTCCAATGGAGCTTTCGGGGAGACTTTTAAGCCAGTGCCGAGCTGGCCCTTTGAGTTTGAGGGGTAAATACTTGATGGCGTGGAGATCATCTCCTCGAGCCATATGGATATGGAGGATATAGTCCTCAATCCAGACCCCAGGGTTTGTTGTTCCGCCGTATGCCTCTATGTTTACGGGTTTGAATCCCTCTGGAAATTCATGGTCCAGCACCTCATCGGTGAAACATAGGGGGTGTGCGGCACCCCTGTATTTGGGTGTGCCACATTGTTTGGATGTTTGTTATGTTGTGTTGCATGCTGGAGCGCGCTTGCGTGGTCCGTAGATGGATCTGGTTGCGCCGTCCTTTTGATGCGATCCCTCGCGTGGATCGCGTACTGGCTTGTGTGCGGCATCAGTTGCCACATTATGTTGGCCATGAGGTCATCTATCTGGCCAGATGGACGTTTTAGTTTTTGGTTGCGGGGGATCTAAGGACTCCTCATCGAATTCAGGTAGCAACTTCCGCTTCGGGTAACTCTTGGTGGGGCGATTACCGCCGTACTTTGCTACTGTGTTGAGTACTGTACTCCATCTGATTCGGAGTGTGTCTTGCGCAGCCTTGAGCCTTTGCTTCTGCTTTTTTAGACTCCTCGCGGTGGCAACAAGCCTTTGACGGGCATTATGTTGCTCCGGGTGTCTGTCTGGTGTGATGTCGTCCGGACTATTATCTTTGACAGAGTCGGGTTGTTCGGTTTGATTTTCTGTGTTGTCGTGGTCCGGCGATGGTTCACCCTGCTCTAACGCTGGGTCTATATGATCGTTGTTTCTACCGAGGCGGGATTTGGAGCGGCGCTTACGCCGCCGCTTTGACTGCTTCTCGAGGGGACAACCCTTCGTTGCGTCCTTCCGTTCCTCGTCGTCGTCTTCTTTTGGTGTGTCCACCATGTATACATCATGTGATGAAGTGGGCGTCCAGTGCCCTGTGGGCAGTGGTTCCTATTCGTCTCCTGCATCGTCGTCCATAACGTGGATGTCTTCGGAGTCGGAGTTGAGCATGTCGGTTAAGTCATCGACAGTGGCTACTAAGTGGGTGGTGGGTGGGCGGCGAATTTCTTCGTCATCCGCATCCCAATCCTGCCGGACATATTTCGGCCAGGACTCTCCTGATAAGGAGAAAGACTTTAATGAATTCAGTATGTCGCCGAAGGGCGAGTGCTGAAAGATATCCACGGAGGTAAACTCCATGATCGGCGCCCAACCGGATTCGATAGGAACGGGCGCAGGTGGTTCGGAGTCCGTGGTCGGAGAAGTATCCGGCAGTTTAACAACACGGCTCTCGTGAAGGGTAAGATCGATATTCAGCTCGATCGCCGTTGGGGATGCGGCCTCTGTGGCGGGGTCTATCCACCCGTCCATGGGAGGCGCAACTGGCTCCGAATTAAGGGTCGGAGCGGCTGCCGGTGTGATTTCTTGAACACTGTCCGATGGCAGAGCTAAATCGTACTCATCGTGACCGCGTGACGCACAAGGCAGAGGCTCGAATCCGTCGAAGATCAAGTCTCCGCGGATATCGGCCGTGTAGTTTAAGCTTCCAAACCTGACCTGGTGGCCAGGGGCGTAACTTTCGATCTGCTCCAGATGGCCAAGCGAGTTGGCCCGCAGTGCGAAGCCGCCGAACACAAAGATCTGTCCGGGGAGAAAAGTCTCACCCTGGACTGCATCGCTATCGATGATAGTAGGAGCCATCAAGCCTAACGGCGACGACACAGAGGAACTCTCAATGAAAGCACCAATGTCGGTGTCAAAACCGGCGGATCTCGGGTAGGGGGTCCCAAACTGTGCGTCTAATGCGGATGGTAACAGGAGGCAGGGGACACGATGTTTTACCCAGGTTCGGGCCCTCTTGATGGAGGTAAAACCCTACGTCCTGCTTGATTTATTCTTGATGATATGAGTATTACAAGAGTTGATCTACCACGAGATCAGAGAGGCTAAACCCTAGAAGCTAGCCTATGGTATGATTGTATGTTACTGTACGGACTAAAACCCTCCGATTTATATAGACACCGGAGGGGCTAGGGTTACACAAGGTCGGTTACAAAGGAGGATATATACATATCCGTATTGCCTAGCTTGCCTTCCATGCTAAGTAGAGTCCCATCCGGACACGAGACGAAGTCTTCAATCTTGTATCTTCATAGTCTAATAGTCCGGCCAAAGGATATAGTCCGGCTGTCCGGAGACCTCCTAATCCAGGACTCCCTCAATGGGATACTCCTTTGCCTTCTTCATGGCTTCGAAGGTCATGAGTATCATCTTGTCCAGCTACACGACTTGAGGATCCATGGACCGACGCCTTACTTTGGGGGTTGAAGTGTTGCATCTTGACTTGGAGTGCTCCTTCTCCTGAGCCTTGAAGCATATCCTCGTGTCCTTCCACGCGAGGAACTGCGTGTTGTCTCGGTCCTCAGGGGAGTTAAGACACGCCCTGTCCTTAAAGAGCTCAATCGCCTTCGCATTATAGGCGTGCGCCGCAAGCTCCGGGGTGTTCCACGCGTCAAGTGGTGCTTCATGCAACCCTTGGTAATATCCGCATACCACTTATTCCCCTTCTCTCTCATACCATGGTACTTCGGCATCATGTGTGATGATGACATTACCTAACAAGTTAGTAAAAACTTGCAGTCTAAAATGACCAAGAAAAAAAGCCTTGACCTTGACTACAAACTGAACATATCGACGAAACGAATGCCTGCAAACAAACATGTAGGGCTACTTTGATTTACATGATATAATATATAAGAAACATAATTAGAATGTCAAGTACTTTTGACATACCACAAAAAGAACGAAGCAATTGTTTTGGACAAAAAGGAAGAAAGAACAAAGAAATTGCAGTATAGAGGTCTAAATAAAAATGATGTTTGCCACTCCATCTGTTCCAAAATGCAAGATCGTGTCAAGAATGATCTTGCATTTTAGGATGGAGGGAGTATAAATTAGAGTGCAACAAAATATTTTTCAAGGATTGTAAGCTGTGAATCAAACGACCCATGCAAGAAAAATCCTAAGAACTAAAATCCTCAACAAAACTAACACTTTACGCCTACTTAATTGAGATGGATGTAGTTGACGAGCTAAATAATGAGATACACCATCTGTTTCCAAATTAGTTTAAATTTAAAAACAGAGGTAGTACAATTTTATTGAAAAAAATGACAGTATCAATCAATATGGTACATTCAGCTCTCATGGTCTTAAGAAAAGTACGACACGTACGTTGTTTTTCAACCCCTAAAATACCCATTGGAGCGGCTCATCGTCCAAGTTGTACCGCAGCGATTTGTGCTTGACCATGTTGAGACCCCGGTCGACCTCCACGCCGGCGAAGACGACAAACCTCTCCCCCGCGCGGTCGTAAAACCTGGCGGTGCAGAACCTGCCGGAGCCCAGGTGCACAAGGTGGTGGGAGTGCCAGTCCCCGCGCGCCCTCGCAAAGTCGGGCGACCAGCCGCGGGGCTCGTCCTCGGGCGCTTCTTCTTCCCAGACGCTGTCGCTGTCTTGCAGCGTCGGCCGCTTGCCGGGGTTCGAGGCGCAGAACAGCTGGTTGTCTCCACTGGAAACAAAGCGGAAGCCGAACAAGCGGTCGCGCTCGGGGACATGCTCGGCGCGGCCTAGCATGTTCCTGATCCAGCCACCGGCGTGGCTCCACTCGCGGCTAGTCGTGTCGAAGGAGCAGGTGCTTTCGTGGTCGTGGGATATGCAGATGGTGTCGCCGACCACCGCCCAGGAGGCGATCCTGCATCCGCCGGAGGAGGGCCCGCGCTTGAGTTCGTAGCCGGGGTTCTGCACGTAGGGAGGCGGCGGGAGCGCGTGCCAGTGCCACCCCGGCGAACCGCGGACGCCCTCGGGCGGTTCCCCGTGGACGAGGGCCTTGAAGCTGCAGTGATGGGGCTGATCGGGGTCGGTCTTGCGGGGGCACGCCTCGATGAGGTAGAGGGCGTCGCCGGCGGCGATGGGGATGGGGCTCCGCATGCGCCCGGTGAGCCTGGACAAGGAGCGCACCTTGTTCCCGCAGACGTCGTACAGCAGCACGTTGCCGTCCTGGTCCGTGCTGACGATCTTGTCCGCGTTGCTGCCGAGGGGCATGAAGCGCATCGTCATCCTCCCGGTCCCGGCGCGGCCCTCCTCCTCCGGGCAGGGAGGAGCGCCGAAGGACAGCGTTGGTTCAGGCAGCTCGGCAAGTTCCACGGCCGCCGGTGTTGGGCATCCGGTCTGCTTCTTTGGGTGGAAGAAGCTCGCCGTCTTGATGCGGCGTAGCGCGAAAGATCCGGTCTTGTGGCTGCCCAGAACCAGATTCAGAAACGGGCGCTTCATTGTCGCCGTCGATCGATCTGATGGAGCATGAGCGGCGGGCGTCCGGACAGTAGAAGCCGGTTTCGAGGAAGGGCGAGCACGCGCGGCGGCGGCGGCGGCGAGATTAATTGGGACTGAATTCCTTGCGGTTCACGTAGTACATTCCCTCGCGTCGTGTATCGAGGAGTTCAGTTGGCTCCATCTTCTGATGGGCCACTCTTTCGGTTCGTACAGAAACAGTGGGCTCCCGTGGGCTACCATGAATTTGGGCTTCCCCCGTTCATCTTTCCTACTACCATATTTTTCTACCTTAGCCTGAAAAAAACCTTTTTTACCCCTTTTTGTTTTTGCGGGGATACCCCTAAAAAAATTGCTACCATCTTTTTCCTCATTGACCACCAGCGTGTGATTTTTCCAGGGCCATGAACGGACGTGATCACACAAAACCCGCAGTGCCAGCTGGGAGCGTCGTCTAGTCTCGATCCGTGCCGACCCGTTGGTGCCGTACAAGCGTACCGCGCAACATGCTCGCACGTCACGGCGCCTTGCATTGCATATACGACCGAACACAACGCCGTCACGTTGGTGCCACGACGAAGCCAAACTCCAAAGTAGAGCCATGCATCATGCATGCATGGTTGATCGATCGTCCTCGCTGGCCGGCCGCGTCCCCTGCTCGTGCTCACCTCGTTTCGTCCTCGACGATATCGTCACTGTGGGCGCTTCGGCCGGGAGTACGACCGAAGCGACCACAAACAGCGACGCCCGCGCCAGGCGCTACACTCCACGCCCTCTTGGATCGAGTCTATCTGTTCACAACAACGGGTGGCGCATGTTTTTTTTTATATTTATGTTATTATTTCTTTTTGGAATCTGACAAGCGAAGCGATTTGTGAATTTGCGTCCTGGTAGTGCAAATTTGTCTGGCGGGACAGGCCCGGAATGCTGGAATCATGGAAGGACGGTGCTCAACGACAGCGAGCGGGGGGTCGCCGGGGACCGCGGGACGGCAAGCGAGCCCAGAAAGATCTCCGCTGGATCGTCGTCGCCGCCTGCATTTTGTGATGCCCAGACGAACGAGAACGACGGTGGTGTCGCCGGAATAACTGCGAGAGGGAGACGGGAAATTTTCTTCGGCCTCGGCAGGCTCAGCGACGCCGACGTACGTGCGCACGTATATTAGAAATCCAACGCATATTCTTTCTCACGCTCGCCTTTCTCTCTTTTTTTTGGCGGAAAGAGGCCGGATCGCTGCCGAATCCAGCGCATGTTCCTGGAAAAAAATTCTGTGTGTACGGGTTGTAAACTCCTCTCTGTGCGTATTCACGCCACGTGGTCCACCTCGCCATCCGACGATCCTCTCCTCAGATGCTCGTTCCGTTCGTTCGCTCGGCTCGATAGTCCAGCGTTCGGCTCCAAAACTAGTCAATCCCGGCTCCCGTGAGTTACGCAGTGATTGATTCTGAAATCTGAACAGATACGCATGAGGATTGCTGTTTCTGCTTCTTCGGTGCAGCGGGGATTTGATCGTGGATTTCTGATGGCTGAGCGACCGGAACAATGTCATCTACACGATGGGACTAGCGGCCCAGCTCGCCGGCTCGGCGCTCAGTGCAGCGGACGAAACTGTAGTCATCTTCGTCGCACGCCGAACGCGTCCTCTCATCCCATGAACGGATCGAAACGGCAGCCGCGGATCGGGCTGCCGCAGGTCTGAAACGACACTACTGTGGAGAAGGTTGGGAATGGCCATGGCGGAATCTGACACCGTGGCCTCCAAGGATGACCATGGTGGTTCTTCTTCCGGCAGCAAATCTGAGAAACAAGAGAAAAAATCAGAAATTTTCTGAAAGAGGTCAGATGGATATTTCATTAGCTTTCATCCATTGAAATTCTGTTATTTGCATAAATTGGTCCTCGCAATCTGGTTGATTTTTCCAAAACATTAGCTACTTCCTTACAAGACATATTTACGTGACGAAATATACAAAACAAATTTCACGGTTATACATATGATATCATCAATTATGATGCTAACTACTCTGGGAGTTGTCTTGCTCTGCGCCCTTCATCTTGTTGATCAATGTCAAGCAATCTGATGCAATTTCCATTTTCTGAAAACATGCTTCTGCTGCAAAGTTGAGAGCATGTCTTATAGCTAAAGCTTCAGCTTGTTCTAGATGTTAACACTTGATCAACAAAGCCCCTTCTGGCTGCTTGTACAGATCCCAAGTTATCTTACATTATCAAACCATAGCTCACGCGCCGTGAATTAGAGAAAATCACAACATCAACATTCATTAGCGTGAAATCAATTGACAGAAAGAGACCATTTTTGAATTATTCCCTGCTTCTCGTGCCTTGTGGATGTAGTCGAACAAGAAGCAATCAGGAAACATTCCATCATCTCCAATGGTTTCCTGTCAGTCTCGTTTTTTCCTATGCCGAAGTGGTTCCTACTTCCTTCTGCAAAGAATGAATTAGCAAGTTTGTTGAGTTTAGACAGTGAAGTATATGTATGTATTATCCATGCCATCGCAGCTTGACCGGGATAAACATGGAGGAGACATTGTACACGGTGAGACCAACGATTGTTCTGCTGACATCAACGGTTCCTGGCAGCTAAGATATTGAACAGTGATTAATTAACTGTTAATGCTGACCACTTCCACTAGAACAAAATAGATTGACACGAGAAACAAAAAGAAATCAACATGAGAGAATATGAGCAGCGGCGAGCAGAAGAAAAGGGGGATTGGAGACGTACCTGCGTCGTTTGGCTGCCGGCCGCACTCCCTCAATCCCGTGTCAGAAACTCAGAATAGGGGCAGGCGGCGGACGAAGGAGATGACAGCGGAAGCGGACGATCAGCCGGTGAAGAACGACGGAGAAGACTGCAGCGGCGGCGGCGGCGACTGCGGCAAAGGATGCGACGGCGACTCTGGTCTAGATGGATTAGGGATCATGCGGAGAGGAGAGACCCCACAGTGGTTCCTGTTGAGTATATAAACAAGAATATGGTTTTTACCCTCAAAGAAAAAAGAGAGTATATAAACAAGAACCCGGACAGGAGCTCACGAACGCAGACGTACGTAGACGGACCGGCAACCGCCGTCAGCGTCTGTGTACGAGACGCTCCGTGGTCGGCCCCAGCCCAGCTCAGTTCGTGTAGTGCAGCGCAAGAGAGGTTTCCCCGGGCCAGGCCAGTCAGTCAACAATGCGGAGCTCATACGCGACAGCAACACAAGGAGAAAAGAAAGAACGGAGGAGATACGCCCGAGCTGCCATTGACAAGTATTTTAAGTAAATATACGGAGATGTGTCTGCGCAAAGATAACAGCGGGTGGTACTACATCGGGTGGCCGTCCACTCTGTCGGGTGATGTGGACGGCGGTGGCCCCCGCCGGGCGGCGCGCACGTCCACCTCCACGCATCGCCAGGCGGCAGGGCCTGCCAGCCGAGGAACGCAAGTCGAACATGATCACCAAACAAATCCATGATAGCTTGACAGGATCGGCGCGCAAGCGAAGCTGAGTACGATGTCCGATTGTCTGAAAGAGCAGTGCTCCGGTTTGCAAGCAATCATCCGTGCTCCTACGCCGCAGGAACGGAACACCTCGAGCGGTATGTGCCAGATAAGCCAGCCGTGCATGCATGTGCTGGCATATGAAAATATCCACAGGATTGATGTCTGCACTGCGGTCTATTCTTGCACTAAATGGCAGTGGTACGAGCGAGCTGGGCCCTTCGCCATTTCGATCAAATCCGAGCACCACGTATCCTAAACAGCACGTGCTGTGCTCTGCAGCCGGCCAGCGACATTACTCCTGTGCGGGACGTGCTCCACAGGAAGTCAGGCCAACTCCACCGCGCGACCCTACCCTGTCCGGCCCCGTTTGTTTAAGGTAAAAGGGACAAAAAAGGCGGCCCAGCGCGCGGGAGCAAACGGACTTTTGTCCGCTTTGTGTCCGCTTTCGACCCATTCCCGGCCCAAACTTGCGCCGGTTTTGGGGTGAAACGGACACCACGCGGACGGGCGGGACGCGCGCGCTTGTCCTCCCCTGGCCCGCCTGTCGGGGACACTAGCAGTCCCTCCGCTCCCAACGCTTCATCCTCTCTCCCCGCCCCGCCCCGCCGCCGGCGCCGCCGCTATTCTTCGGCCGCCTCCTCACCGCGCAGCCCCCCCTCCCCC